TCTTCTTTCGGAAATAAAATGCAGCAAGATGAAGAATATAAATAGCAGAAGTGAAATACGAAATTTCTGAATTGAAAAACATCAAATGAGGGTGGTTCTATTTATAGATGTGAAGGTGGCTCTTGGATTTGAATTGAACAGGTATGTGGCTCTTGGTTTTGAATTGAACAGGTATGATACCTGTTGGGTTTTGAATTCAAACAGATTCAACAATTCAAACAGATAGCAATTACGGGAAGGGCCCTGTTTGGGTGTGCACTAATTCCAAAACAGTTTATTTCTGTTTGAAAACGGGAAGGGCCCTGTTTGGATGAACAAAAAATCCAAACCAATTTAATTTGAATTTTGGATTTTATTTTAATAAAAAATAAAATTAAATTCAAATGTTTTTGGCCCAAAAAATAGACACCAACACGCACCCGCGCCCAAGCGCGCCGCCGGACGGCGGCGGCGCGGCGCGCGCGCGTGTGGTGATTTTTGGGTCCAATGGGTCTAGCCCATTTTGCCCATAACCTCTCCCTCTAAAACACTTGGGTACCCCTTGGGCACACCCAAGTATCTCACCCTAAGCCTATATAACCCTTTCAAACTTCCCACCAAATCAATGTGGGACAAGCCAATTTACAACCTTAAGAATTTCCACCAAAACTCCATTTCATGGAGCACACTTTGGCTTCAATTCCCATTCACTCGGTAATGGTTTTGAGCAACCAAATATACCACGTGAATCACAACGGGCATAGAACGCGTTACCACTTTGACGAGTAAATCGACACTCGGGGCCCACCTAAAAAATAGACCGAACTTAGGAAAAAATTCTGGTTTTATCCAGAATTTTATACCATTTCCAACAATCCCCCACATGAATGGAATTTGATGACAACGGAAATGAACAATATGCAGTTTTAACGAAAGAGTATAAGTCGAAAATATCTTACATCAGGATAGGTAGTTTTCGGCTTTGAACCTTCCCTAGTGATAACCTATCGGACTTACTGGCTAACCAATGGACGCGATGCCTTGAATTGTTCAGCCGTTTGTGTAAGCCAAGACAATAGATTTCACACAAAATATCTTCTAACACATCGTGGTTCTCACTGTTGTGTTCATTTTGGCCTTGAACGCACCTGGTTTTCATAAGTGTTTCTAGAGAATTTACCTCTTCATTCTCATAGAACCGGCCCCAGTTCAACACTCATATAGGTGATTCTTATGTGAGTATCTCCTTATACTCATCTTGATTTTATGTCTTAATCAAGATATAAGTAATCATTAAAAGTAAAGCTTATCCTTATACCCTACAGACAACATATGTTGCAGATATCACTCTCACCATAGGAATGGGTAGGAATTTTAATCCCTTGGTGATTTCTGGCGAGCTATACATAACTTAGTTGTCCCTTTGAACTTAGTTCTTGGGATCTCCAGTCATATAAGTAGGGTTCCATTATGACGACTCTTATGTAATAGGCTTTAATCCCATCCCCTTCGATGAACTATACACTAGCTCTTTTGTCAAACTTTTTGTTAACGGATCCGCAATATTCTCTTAAGATTTTATATAATCTATGAGATTATTCCGTTTGACAACAATTGCCTTACGGTATTATGTCGACGACGAATATGTCGTGACTTACCATATACATATGATTTGTGCCCTCCTATTGCAGATTGACTATCACAATGAATGCAAATAGCTGGCACAAGTTTTGGCCACATTGGAATGTCTTCTAAGAAGTGACGAAGCCATTCTGCTTCTTCACCTGCTTTGTCTAAAGCAATGAACTCGGATTCCATTGTGGATCGTGCGATGCAAGTTTGTTTTGTGGACTTCCAAGAAACAGCAGCGCCCAAGAGTAAGACATATCCACTAGTGGATTTTGAATCTTTAGTATCCGATATCCAATTGGCATCACAATAACCTTCGAGTACTGCTGGATATCGAGTAAAGTTCAAACCATGATCACGAGTAAATCTTAGATATCTAAGAACTCGAATGATCGCTTTCCAATGGTCTTCTCCAGGGTTACTAGTGTACCTACTCAATTTACTTATAGCATAAGCTATATATCAGGATGAGTACAATTCATTAAGTACATTAGGCTTCCAATGATTTGGGAGTATTTTAACTGAGACACTGCATCACCTTTATTTTTTTGATAATAAAGATTGATGTCTACAGGTGTTCTAGCTAAATTCAAATCATCCTTGATAAATTTATCAAGAATTTTCTCAATATAATGAGATTGAGATAATGCATACCGTCAGATGTTTTAGTAATTTTTATTCCTAATATAACATCTGCGACCCCCATATCTTCATATCAAATCTTTTGTTAAGACTTCTTAGTTGATTTGATCATGTTTTGACTGCTTCCGATGATAAGCATGTCATCCACATAAAGACAAACTATGACATATCCTTGGTCAGTGTTTTTAACATAGACGCATTTTGTCACATTGTTTATCTTAACCCATTAGTAAGCATTGCTTGATTAAATTTTTCATGCCATTGCTTAGGTGCTTGTTTTAATCCATAAAGGGATTTTACAAGTCGACAAACTTTCTTTTCTTGCCCTGATACTACAAGCCCTTCGGTTGTTCCATATAGATCTCTTCATTTAGATCACCGTTTAAGAAAGCTGTCTTAACATCCATTTGATGTATTTCTAAAATTCAACAACGCTGCTATAAGAAATAAGCATGCCGAATGGATGTTATTCTTGTTCACAGGGGAAAATATGTGTCAAAATAATCCAGACCTTCTTTTGTCTGTAACCTTTAACAACAAGTCCTTGCTTTATACTTGTCAATTGAACCATCTGCTTTCATTTTTCTCTTGAATATCCATTTATATCCAAGAGGTTTAGAACCTGGTGGAAGATCCACCATCCCAAGTATGATTTTGCATAATGGATTCAATTTCATTATTAACAGCCTCTTTCCACAAAGGTGCTTCAGGACCTGTCATTGCTGCCTTAAGCTTGAGGTTCATTTTCTAACAAGTATGTCAGAAAATCTGGACCAAAGATTTTGATGTTCTTCTTGCTCTCTTACTTCGTCTAGGTTCATCATTAGTTAAATCCTGTTGGTCAAGACTATTACTAGTCTCTTGTGTTTGATTGTCATTATCTCTTGACTTTTGTGTACAATCATAAGTTCTCTTTTCTGTGAACTTAATTCCTGTCCTTTCTTGTAAGGAAAGACATGTTCAAAAAACAACAGCATTCCTTGACTCTATAATAGTGTTCACATTTAATATCAAGTATATCGATTTTAAAGTCAGAAACCGATATGCACTACTATTCTGAGCATAACCAATAAACACACAATCTACTGTTTTTGGTCTAATCTTAGTCTTTTTAGGAACAGTACTTCAACTTTTGCCAAACACACCCCACACTTTTAAGTATTGTAGGAAGGTGTCGACCTTTCCACAATTTTAAGGAATGCTTTTGGTTTTTCTGTGGGCTATTCTATTAAGAACATAATTAGCAGACAATATTGCTTCCCCCCACAAGTTCTGTGGTAAGCCTGAACTTAGTAACATGGCATTCATCATTTCTTTTAGGGTTCTTCTTCCTTTCAGCAATTCCATTTTGCTGTGGAGAATAAGGGGCTGTAGTTTGGTAATAATGCCATGTTGTGCACAAAATTCATTTAATGGTGCATCATATTCACCACCCCTATCACTTCTAATATAAATCAATGAATTTTAAAACAAATTCAAGAAAAAAACCAAAATAATTATGACTACTCAAGTCAGAATTAATGTTTTGACAAAATCATATCCTCATAAAAATTTTTGCCTAAAGAATCAAACAATTCAAAAACCCATTTGATTGTATGCATTCTTGCACCTCAATAACAAATAAATGTCACTGTCATAAAAATATTTGTGACAGAAGAAAATTAAAATTAATCTCAACTAATGCAAGAGATACACCCCATATTAAAAAAAAATGGTTCATGGTTTAACAAATTCTACTACACAAATAATTATTAATGACATCTCATGTCACATAATTCAATAATCAACATAAAAATTTTCTTAAATTACTTTCCAATTAAACAGACTGATATAATACATAACATCTTCATGTTAAATTTCTTGGTGTTTAAACACCCATTCAAATTGATTAGAAATATTCAAATTAACCTGCTTATGTCCAAAATCGACATAACAATTTATCATTCCAAATCACTGAAGTTATTGTTAAGAAATAAACTTGAGTTGATAACATACATGCATATCAAACGCATCAACTAAAAATAATGAATTAACAAAATAAATTAATCATGCACGATCCTACCACTTGCATCATGAAATAAAGGATTCTCAATCACAAATAAAAATCCAACGCATTTAAACATTAAACTTTAAAATGAACAAAACATACCTCTTGAAGTCATGTGTGGAAACCATGACTGCGTGTAAACACTTAGTGTGTTCGTAAGGCAAACAATTTGTAGTGCTGCTATTGTTTGTAGTAGATCATTTCATCCTGGGAGATAGACGTCCGAATTCTGAAAGCACCGTGGAGAGGACGAATCTGTCTTAAGGACACAGTGTCAAACACTGGACTTGATCAGAAAATAATTCGAAGAAATTAAATCAAGTAAGTTATTTAATTTATTTTCAGTGTTGTTTTTATTTATTTAAATCAGATTTTAATTTTGTTTTTGTAACAAAATAAAATCTGTTTTTATTTATTTATTTTTATTTCGAGTTTGATTTTTGTTATCAAACAAATTCTCTCCTTTTTCTTTATTTCTTTAAATTCTATTTGTTGTTGTGTACACAATAGAATTAAATCTTTTAAATACAGTGAAGATTGTCCAACAGTGAATAGATAACAAAAATAATTATGAGAAGTTCAAGCTACTGAATGTTATTTTAAATAGTCACATTAGGTCAAATTAGCGTTGGGTATTTCAAACTATTAGAAAGTACACAATCCCATGTCATAGTCAACGTAATGTTTCTCTGTAAAAAAAAAAAAAAGCTACAAAAGATTACTAAGAATATTAATGCCAAAGCACAAAGAAAAAAGTAGCTACACACATGTCACACCATCAGTAACGAAGGCAACTAAAACACGCATTTACTATGTTAACATGAATGCAAATACAAATTTGATGGCATGTACATTCTTAATGAGAACCAGGTTAAAAATTGCCTCACCATGTTACACAACCACACACCTCATCATGTACATTCTTAGTGAGCTTTAATACCATATTCAAGGAATTGACATAACAAATTACAAACAGAGAGAGAGTATTTAGTTTCTTACGAGCCAAATTCCAAGCAAAAACTTTAATCGTAAGTGGCACATTCGCTTTTCAAATCATTTTATGTGAGTCAAAGGTTGGTGCATCCGACATATAAATGAGTTCAGAATGTATGTTTGCACAATTACCTCCATTTCTGATTAGTAACTACAAACCTTAAATTAAATCACCTAACTCAAGAAACTCATTACCAATGGACGTAAGGCATAAATAAGGTGCAAGTAAGGAAAATTTCGGAAACATTTAAGTTACTCATATGCCCCTAAGACAAAGAACATATAATGCAATTAAAGAAGCGGAAAATGAATTAAGCAATTTGAAACTAAAAAAAAAACTTTTCCCAATCAGCTGGAATAATAAGATAACCAGATTCACAACAAACTTACAAACCTCTGTATGTTCCAGTTATGTTCCAAGCAGCAAATGGGCCAAATTCATTCTCATCTTTTCTAATAGAAAGCTACTGCAAGACGTGATGACACGGAAAATAGAAAGAACATTCTCTGATTCAATAAAACTTAGCTGCATTATAAGAGCGTGTGTTAGCAATATTTATGTCGAATAGCTAAATTTTCAACAGTCAAATGCAATGTTTAAAAAAATGAATTACAAATTCATATATATAAATAAATTGAAAACAATATTGAAAATGGTCCGTATAAAATATTATGGTCTGTATAAAACATCATGGTATATCAAAAATAGGCAAAGTCACATGCCTAAATATGTCGACATCCTAGCTTGTGTAGGCTCTTCCGTCAGCAGCATATAGTTACAACAACACCGCTATGGAGCTCGAAAAATCAAAGGCTCAAATAGCTCGAAATCCCAAAACGACGTCGTTTTAGGACTTTTTTTTATTCTCTTACCGGTAAGATAATATTTTCCGTACCATTCGAGTCATTCGAGCCTCAGTTTTTCGGGCTACAGAGCATTTTTGTAGTTACAATTATTGCAGAGGAAAAAGGGCTTATACCTTATCTTCTAAACTCGACATTAAAATTAAAAAAAATAAATCATACACATTCTCCAGTGTAAATAGCATAAGAATGATATTTCATTCCATTTTATTTTATTTTAGCGACATGGACTATTCTTAATTTTTTATAATTTTGTTACCAACAGAAAAACTAAACACATAAATATAATGAAATACAAGTATATGAACAAGATTTTATCAAAAATTCTTAAGGAGTGAGGATAGTAGCTTACTGCATTCTTCATCTGAATTAATGTGTGACGTTTGCATGGATGAAGTACCTGTCAATGAGACGACAACAATGGATTGTGGCCATTTTTTCTGCAATGATTGTGAGCACTTTGCTACTTGTTTCTTTTCTCTTCTTATTGCAAAAAACTTATTGGTAGACCTAACAACTATCACAATCGATCTTTAATAAAAACTATAATTCTACCAGCTATACTATTTGACTTAAGATACTTAGAGGAATGAGTCTTCCATCCTTTGTCTGTTTTATGGCATTCCATTATTAATTTGGCCAATTTACATTTGCTCAATACACTCTTTTTTTTAGATTCTAAAAAATCCAACCCAACCTCTTGAAATACTATTGGCAAATCTAAATTATCTAATCAAGTGAGAAAAATACTGCTTACAATTTAAAAAAAAAAAAAAAAAAAAAAAAAAAAAAAAAAAAACTAACATATTACTCGCGCTATGCACAAGTATAAATAACTAATTAAAAATTAGTCTTTAAATTAAAATAATAATATAAAATTTATTTAAAATATTGTAAAAGTGATTTATAATCAATTAAATTTTATTAATTTTTATTAGAGTTACACTAAGAGAAGATTTTTATTCTAATGTCATTAATTGTATTTCTTAAGTTCTTAATAAAAATCTGCATGTCATAATTTCATTGGTAAAATTTAAATAATAAATTACAAAAATTTTATTTTCAATAAAATATAAATACATTTCATTTTGTAAGTTTCGTAATTTTAATTTTAGTAATAAATTATATTTTTTAATATACTAAATTTTTCTTATTTTGTAAAGCCTAAAAATTTGTTTACTTAAAATTATTGTTATAACTCTTATGTGAAAATGGATTAAAATTGACTTGTGGTGTTGGACTAAATATTAGAATTGACTTGAAAATTAGTTGACTGAATATTTATGCCAATGTGACATTCACCTAGTCATTAAAAATTGTCTTGATTGTTTAAAATTATCTTTATCGGTTTATAACCGAGATAAGTTAGTTTGAGGGTTCTAATATTAGATTAAATATTAAAACCGAGCTTAGAAAATTTAATTTGAGTCGATTTTTTTTTTCCAACAATTCTTGGTTTAAGCATATAATACATCTTATTTTAATAACTCAATATAATAATAAAAAAAACAATAATCTTAATGTTTATGGTGCTTTTTGTCAATCAATAAAAATTATTTATAAATATTAAGAGAATTACATTTGAACAAATTCTAACATAAATTTTTTACTTTAAAACTCTAAGACCTACACATTTTGTTTGATTCTATCTACATCACTAATCTTTGGAGGTTTAATGATTTTTTTTTTTTTTAATGGAATGTCAATTTGCTATAATATAAATATATAGATTGGAATATCGATACATATAAAATTATTAAACATTAAGAAAAAAAATCTATGAAAGATGTAGATTAATTCCTATATTTTAGTAGTATCAAAATTCAAATTCAAATTTATATTTTAGTTAACTTTCCTTCTCAATTTCTAAATTTAAATTTTTGAATAAATTAATTAACTTTCTTTTTGAAATGTGTAAATCAAGGCATATAAGTTATTTAAAATTTTAAAAAGATTAACTAACTTTCTTTTTAAATTTAAATTTGTAAATGAATTAATTACCTTTCCTTTTAAAATGTGCAAATCAAGTCATAGAAACTATTTAAATTTTTAAATAGATTAATTAACTTTCCGTTCAAATTTAAATTTTTAAATGAATTAATTAACTTTCCTTTTGAAATATGTAAATCAAGGTACAAAAGCTATTTAAATATTTAAATAGATTAATTAACTTTCCTTTTAAATGGATTAATTACTATTTTTTTAAATTTTTTATAAAAATAATTTAACAATCTCATAAGTAAGCAGAGAGCATAGTTGAAAAGGATGTTTCAGTAACTATGATAGAAGTCAAAAAGGCTTGTGAATTGAGAGAAGTCAATAAATGCTGCGATTTTTCTTTTTTAAATCAAAAAATTAAAAAATTACGATTGGGATATTAAAGCTCCCATAAAACTTGTGGGTTAAAAATCTCATTTTCCTTATATAATATATAGATTTATTTTTAATTACATTTTTTAAATAAGTGTGATTATATGTTTTTTAATCACTCCCCAAATAGGTGTGATTGTATAAAATATTTTAATTTGATTTTTATATAAAATAATACTAACATATCACCTTTATGCACGGATTGTGTTTCACTACTTTGTCTTTTTTCTTTTTTCTTTTTAAATGTCTTCTTTTTCTTTTTCTTTTTCTTTTTTATATTACATTAAAGTTTAATATTTTGATAATAATCATATGTGTTTGACTTTTCAAAGAATTCATATGTGTTGAACTTTTCAAAAAAAAAATTTATACTTGTTCTTAACGCATTAAAGTGATATTATGGAGAATAATAATCATATGTGTTTGACGTTTCAAAGAATTCATATGTACTTCACAATTATTTCTACATATGTGAATTGTAATTTTTAAATGTCTTTTGTTTTTCTTTTTTTTTAAATGTCTTTCTTTTTTTTCTTTTTTATATTATATTAAAGTTTAATATTTTGATAATAATAATATTTATTGGACTTTTCAAGAAATTCATATGTGTTGAACTTTTCAAAGATTTTTTTTTTTGAAAAATTACGAATAGGTCCTACTTTTGAGACTTATTACCCATCAAGTCTTATTGATAAATTTATCAAGTGATAAATTTATCAATCTCTTGTTTTTATGAATAAACTATAGTGATAAATTTATCAATTTCTTATTTTATAGTGATAAATTTATCATTTAGGACCTGTAGATAAACAAGTCTATTTAATAAGGCTAATTGGTAAGTATCTCTTTTTTTTATACTTATTCTTAATGCATTAAAGTGTTATTATGAGGGTAAGGCTTGAGAATTTGAAGAAACTAATAAATGCTGATTTTTTTTTTTTTTAAATCAAAAAATTAAGAAATTTAAATTAGAATATTGAAGCTCCCACAAAACTTGGGGGTTAGAAACCCCTTTTTCCTTTATATATACTAACATTTCACCCATGCTATGCACAGATTGTCCTTAAAATTATCTATATATGTGAATTGTGATTTTTAAATATATATATTTTTTAAATGTCTTCTTTTTTTCCTTTTTTATATTATATTAAAAATTAATATTTTAATAATAATCATATGTGTTGAATTTTTCAAGAAATTAAATGCCTTTTTTTTATTATATTATATTAAAATTTAATATTTTGATAATAATCATATGTGTTGGACTTTTCAATAATTTTTTTTATGCTTTTTCTTAATGAATTAAAGCGTTATTATGAGGGATAATAATCATATATATTGGGGCTTTTCAAAGAATTCATATGTGTTGAATTTCAAAGAATTTTTTTTTATGCTTGTTCTTAATGCATTAAAGTGTTATTATAAGGGTAAGACTTGAGAGTTAGGAAAAGTCAATAAATGCTCAGATTTTTTTTTAAATCAAAAAATTAAAAAATTTAAATTGGGAGATTGAAGTTCCCCCAAAACTTGAGACTAAAAATCCTCTTTTGCTTAATATATAGTATAGATATATATATATATATATAGATAGATAGACTGTATAATAAAACCTAGATTGTCCTTAAACAAATGGCCAAGGATGGAAATGATGGGCATGGTTAAGTTAGATTGCCTTTAGACTTGAACCCATGTTCTCAAACTTCGCAGCCTGTTCATTCACTATCCTAGCAATCACCATACTAACTGTATGTATTTTTTTTAATTGTTCTAATACGATTAATATTTCTGAGACTTCACTTATCAAGAAAATAATTTTGAGTACTTTAATTCATTATTAATAAACTAATTGGCTCAATATTCAGGGCCATAAGAACTCCTTTCATACTTAAGCTGTAATTCCCATGGATAGTGAAATGATAATAAAAAATTAAGAAAAACTGGTTAGGATAGAAATTCCTTGAATGTTTTTCTATCTTATCTATACTATATATTAAGCAAAATAGGATTTTTAATCCCAAGGCTTGTGGGAGCTCCAATCTCCCAATCTAAATTTCTTATTTTTTATTTTTAAAAAAAAAGCTCTTAGCATTTATTAACTTCTCCCAACACCCAAGTCTTACCCTCATAATAACACTTTAATGCATTAAGAACAAGTATAAAAAAAATTCTTTGAAATCCAACACATGAATTCCTTTATAAAGTCCCAACACATATGATTATTATCACTCATAATAGGATTACCATCTTTGTACACAACAAATGTGGCCCAGTCCTGTGGGCAATTCAACAGGATGCCAATTCCCAACCTTGATTCCCACAAGCAAATGTGCACTAGATGTATAATCATCACCTATATTGAGGCCCATGAAAAAATTGGCTGCCATCTCACAAACAGTGATGCTGGATTAGATGTATATCATGCAAAGAGTAGCTCTGGTACCACTGGAGCTATTTGGTTGATTTCCTAGTGAATCTAAGCAGCTTAACAGACAATTGAATACAAATCGGAGAGAAATGAAAAAAACAGAATTGACTCCAAGGAAAAAACTGCCATTCAAGAGGAACTAAAATATTGAGTAGTTTGACATATTACCATGATTCAGAGGCATTAATGACATAATATACAGAAGAATGAGATAAAATATGAGACGAAAAGTTCACAGACATGCAGATGAGATCAAAAATATCATCCCACTGAATTCCCATAAATGAAAGAGGCAAAGCAAATACCAAAGTTAGAGCAGATATGCCATCTAAAGGTACCACGAAAGTTGACCAAATAAGCCCAATGTTGCCTGTCCACAAGAGGATAATAACTCACCCAAAACAGATATAGCGTATAATAGAGGATTGATATATCTCACAAGAATCAAAGCAACTAGTCATTAACATGATATAACTCACCCAAAACTAGACCACCGATACCCCTCATAGAGACGGTTACATATAAGAACAAATATGTTGAAAACTCAGAGTATAAATGGAAAATACTTTATGTATCCAAATATCTGCAGAAACAAAAATCTGATAAAATATGACAACAATTAGAAGCATTACTTGATGGTGCTGATATTGATGCTACAAAATTCAATCCAAAGAATACATTATAATTTAAATTTTTAAAAATAAAAGGAGTATTATATAATTTTAACATCCCCACAAATTCAATGATTGTGCAACCTATCACTGTACCTTAATGTCCAATAGAAAATTTTGAATTTAGCGAAACTTGAAAATAAAATTTAACATATCCAAAAAAGCGATTATACCAATAGTAATTTTTTTATGAGTAATGCTACAATGACCATCTATTTCTACCATCATATCTTACCATATGATGTGTCAATCTAATTGTCAACATTGCATTGGAGATATACGCAAGTTGTGGGACCCATTAAACCAGTATTGTGTTGACCCATAGTCTAAAAATAATCAATTAAAGAGATCCTTAATTTTTACCCAAAGAAAATATGAATAGCACGTTTATCATGTTTTGTATATGTTGTGAAACAGTAATGGTAAAGTTGTTGATTTGGATACTATTCGGTATAATATTTTGTATGATGACAATCATATCATTTGATGAGTTTCACTTTATATATTTATTTTACTTTTTTGATGATCTAATTAGTATAATTTAAGAAGTGATGTACCCATATATAGTTTTCAAACGTGATCGTCTTAAACACAAGGGAGGTCCTCTCTCTAAAACCCTTTCCGTCCTTTCAACTGAATCATCTTCACAACCAAGATCAATTTCTAGTTTGTTGACTGGTACCATCCCTTTTTCTCTTCCATTTTTGCCTCGTCTTTTTTCCCGTCACCGGCTTTATTTCTGTATTATTTTCTTTATTTTTTTTAAATTTGTTTTGTGTATTCATCACCATTCGAACTACTTTCACTCTTTCTATGAGCTTTTCTCAACTTATTTTCTATGGTGAGCACTTTATTAACTTATGAAAAAAACAAAAAAAAAACAGGCATACTCATATTTTTTACTGAACTTTTAATAGCTTGCTTGACATGTTAGTTCTAAGGTACTTTGCAGATGCATCTTCTTCCGTGTTTCACAGATTGCAAATTATAGTTTAATGAAAAACGAGAAATAGAGATTACAAATGGGGTGAATGCCTGTATTTTCCACAACCAGATTTTTGTCGAAGGTTGCAAATAGGGTGTTGCCACTTGCACACCTCAACTCCACAAATACTAAGCAGAATTCCCTCAAACAAACCACAGCCAATGAGATTACAGCAAAATCACTATAGTTTCTGGACAGAAAAATCACAGCAAAATCTAGCAAAATCAAATGAAATGGCTTTTGAAACAGAGGAAAATCACAACAAAATCTCATCTGACTCCTCCCAGGCCCTCCACCACAGCAAAATCAAAGCAAAATCAAATGAAATGGAGAAAATTATGGTTACCAACTTACAACATAAATCTAGGAGCCAAAATCTTAAGCTTTGTCAGGGGATGAAAATAAAATCAAGGTCTTTATCTAAGAGGCACAGAGAGAAGATGTTTTCAAAACATGTAGATATATAGGAGGATAAGTATATATTCACTGATCTAACTATCCTCCTAAAATGTTTCAAGTTTTGAGTACTGATACTTATTTTGAGAAATTCTATTCAGAAGTACGATAGATTTATGATCCTACGACAAAACAAATTGCCAAATCCCATTCAACAGATATGCAGACAATTTATCAACAATTTCTAGAAAAAGAAACATTCATTCAAGATTGAATCAAATAAAAAACAAAATCATGACAAATATTAACAAAAGGGCCAAAATGCTACATCAAGCAACAATTCATTTTTGTAAGAAATCTAGCCAATGATGGATCATTTTTGTAAGAAATCTACAAAAAAAAAATACAAAAAATATACTATTTTTTTGTATATATTTTTATTTTTCCATAAATATAGTACATCGAATAGTGATACTTCAAATCCAGTGCTCAAGCTCAACTTTTCACAAATTTTCGAATCGGCATGGTCAAATATGATGTCTCCAATCCACAATCAATGCATGCATATATATCATGGATCGTGTATATATATATATAGAGAGAGAGAGAGAGAGGGAAATGAAGAGTTTCAGAGAGAGACGGTGGAGCTCACCTTAGTAGACGATGGTGGTGGCGGTGGAGCTTCGAAATCGAAATCGAAATCGAAATCGAAATTGATCCGTTGAGATTGATGAGCGATCCGTTGAGATGAATCAGCCAAAGATGAATGGATCCGTTGAGAGGGTTTAATGAGAGAGAACGAACGAGAGACTGATGAGTGAGTAAGAGATTAGGGCATTCCGATGAGTGAACGAGAGACTGCTGAGTGAAGGAGAGACTGATTGGGTTGGTTTGGGAAGTGTGTTGATTTTTTTGACTTTTTAATTTTTTGGCGATTTTAGTTTAGTTTAAAAAGTTTAGTTTGTAAAGAGTTTTTTGATTTTTTAATTTTTTAATTTTTTTATGAAAAAAGAGTGTAGTAATTATAGGTTAAATATAATATTTTATTTTTTATAATTAAAATAATTTATTTTATCTTTTGTGATTAAAATAGTAAAAAAGTCCAATCTAACTCTTGTTAAACGGAGCCAATAATTGTTAAAAAACATTCCCTCAATTAACTAGCTTAAGAGAGGACATTTGAAGGCGTTTTTAAACCCCTTCAAATATTGAAACGGTGCCGTTTTCATCTTACAAAGTCATGACGTTTAGTATTATAAAATGTGACGTTTATTAAAATGTCGTTAAATAAACAACGTCATAGCTCATATTTCCTGTAGTGCAATTTGTAATTACTGTAATAGTATTAGGAGACTAATTAGTAAAATTCGGATTGTGATCATTTCCATTCTATATTTATAATGAAAATGTTTCATTCCATCATCTAATGATGATTGTAGTGAGCTTTTTTTAATTTAAATTAAATATAAATTTACATTCCTATTTCATAACTATTAGATATGTAATGAAAATTATCCATTACATATATGGAATGGAGATGATCAAAGTAAAATTCTAACCAAAAAATTATAAACTAATCATCTCACTCACGCATCATTGAGTTTGGAAAATAGACCTAAAAAGTAAGCTTGTACGTCATTTTAATATACGATATTAAATAATCAAGTGATGCAATCGGTTATATTTTTTAACTAAAATATTTATTGTCAATGATGATAATATTTTTCAAAAACAATCAGTGTATTTGGTTTAAGTTTTCTGGATTAAGGTTTTTGAAAATTGAGTTTTTTGGTTTTTCTATTTTTTTTGTTTTTAGTGAATATTTTTAAAATTTTAAACATTTTTTTTTACTTTTTTAGATGCACCTTACTTAAATGTATCTAAAAAGTAAAAAAAAAATTGTGAAAAAATATTTTAAAAAATTAAGGCTCCGTTTGGTAAGCATCTCAAAATATAATTTCACCCATTGATTTGAGTATGTTGTTTGTTTGGAGTTTTCAAATCATAATTCTACACTCATTTCTCAAAACTCAATTCAAAACATAATCGTTACTTTTCAAAATTCATAACCAAACATATAATTTAAAACTCTTTTCAAATCAATATTTTAAATATTTAAATATTTTAAAAATATTTTAATTTTGTTAAGATTTTAAATATTTTAATATTTAAATATGTTACGATTTTTTTAATTTTTTAAATATTTTTAAATATTTTAATTTCAAAATATTACGATTTTAATTTTTTAAATTTTAAAATATTTTATAAAAATAAATTCAAACTCTATTTTATAAAAATATTTTAAAATATTTTAATTTTTTTGTTATGTATTTTGTTACGATTTAAATGTAGAGTTGTGAAAGTAGTATGAAGTTTCGAATTATGTGTTTGGTTATGAGTTTTAAAAATAATTTCTATTTATTTTGAAAAAAAATTATTTCCTTTGTAGTATTTCAATTAAAAAATTGACTAATGTTATTTAAATATTTATGATTTAAACTTTTTGAATATTTATTTTGGAAAAAAAATTATTTCCTTTGTAGTATTTCAATTAAAAAATTGACTAATGTTATTTAAATATTTATGATTTAAACTTTTTGAATATTTATTTTGGAAAAAAAATTATTTCCTTTGTAGTATTTCAATTAAAAAATTGACTAATGTTATTTTCTGTTAATAATAATTTTTTTTCATTGAATTTTAAAAAGAGTTTGGTTATGAGTGTTGATCAGAATTTTTAATAATGTGAAAGTAGTGTGTTTTGTTATGAGTTATAATAATTTGAATTAAATTTTGAAAACTCTTTTCAAAACTCACAACCAAACAAATTTTCTTACTTCACATGTCAAATCAAACTTTTAAAACTCAATTTCATACTCAATTCAAAACTCAATTCAACATTCTATTCAAAAATCATAACCAAACAAATTTTCTACGTTCAAATCATAATTCCACAACTCACAAATTCAAAATACAACTCATACTCTCAAATCATATTTACAAAACTCTACCAAACACAACCTAAGAAATACATAAAAATACAAACAATGTACTGAATTCTTGTATTTTTTTATATTTTTGGTATTTAGTGAATTTTTAAAAGATTTTTTTTACAATTTTTTTTACTTTTTAAGTGTATTTATGTTAGATGTGTCTAAAAAGTAAAAAATTTACATAAAATATTAAAAAAATTCATTAAAAACAAAAAAAAAAAACACGAAAAATAAGAAAGTAGAATTTTTTAAAAACTGTTTTTAGAAAAATAGAACCAAGCAAGCTTAAATAGAACTGAACTACATTTTAGTGGTTTGGTTTGATTTGTTTCCAAATTTTTCATGATTCAATTTGATTACAAATTTCATGAAACTCTAGGTTATAGTTTGATCTTAATTTACTCTTAAATCAAACTAATTCCAACCATGCTCATCCCTAAGCGAAATTTTCTTAATTACAATTTGTTATTGTTATTCAATTTATTTGAAATCTTTAAAACCATATAGACAACGGTGCCGCATTTATTTTATTTTATTTATTTTTGTCTTACTTCTAAGTATAAAAGGACTTCTGAGTTTACTTTCAATATTTACATAATAAAAATACGGTGGTGTCATATGTACAAATTAATATACTAATACTAGTTATGACATTATTATTGACTCTACTCATAAATTACATTATAAATCCCAAAAACCTCTTAAATTATATCACATCATCAATTGGTACACTAGTTAGTATACTAATTGGTACATATACCATTACTCATAAAAAAAGAATAGTATTGCATGCACTAATTAGTGTACTAACTACTATACCAAAACTAGTTATGACATTATTATTGACTCCACTCATCATATAAATTAGGGGTGAAATGAAAAATCGGTAAATCGATTGGACCGACCGGACCGAACTGAACCGGCCGGTTTTGGTCTGTTTTTTTTTTTTCTTGTTTCGGTCTGTTCGGTTATGTTAAAACAAAAAACCGAAATTCGGTTCGGTTTTCGGTAATTATAATTTGAAAACCATACACACCAAATCGCATCGATATATACTCCCTCTTTTTTTATTACTATTATGTATTGTCCAGCTATTTTTTATTATTATTTTCGTACAGGTCATCTGTGTATTCAATTCCAATATTCAAAATAGCTTTCACACTACCCAATGTTTCACATTGCTCAAAATAAAAAAATAAAAAAAACTCTCTCTCTCGACCGCTTCGACCCGACGGTTGAACCAGTGACCCATCCACCCGGTCCCTTTTCCGGTTCGCTCACCGGTCCGGTTTTCAAAACAATGATTTGAAAAACCATGCACACCAAATCGCACCGATATATACTCCCTCTTTTTTTATTACTATTATGTATTATCCAGCTATTTTTTATTATTATTTTCGTGCAGGTCATCTGTGTATTCAATTCCAATATTCAAAATAGCTTTCACACTACCCAATGTTTCACATTGCTCAAAATAAAAAAATAAAAAAAACTCTCTCTCTCTCTATCTAATTATTACACTACTCGACAATGAATATCATGGTCTTGGGTTGGATGTTTCTGAGAGTAATTGCAACTCTCTACAAAAACAAATGCTCTATCTCTCCTCTCTTTCTCTCTATATGTTTGTGTGTTGTAGAGAGTTCTGAGATGAAGGTTTATATGCTTCATCTTCTTCCTATGAAATATTTTGTGGGTCTTCCATCTTCCATCTTCATCTTCTTCATATGAAGGTTGGATCTCTCTCTCTCTCTCTCTCACAAAACCCTCTCATCTTCTTCCATCTTCCATCTTTTATCTTCATCTTCTTCATGTGTTCATCAATGGTCTTTTACCTTCAAGAAAAGATTTTGTTGAAGATTGAAGAACCAACGTGTACCGATCGAACCGCACCGCCCCAACGTAAAACCGCTTGGTACGGTTCTTACTAGTAATTCGGTCTGTTCGGTGCAGATCAATGGAAAACCGAAGGGTGCGGTTCGGTGCAAAAATATCTCAAAACCGGACTGCACCGCACCAATTTCACTCCTAATATAAATTACGAATATAAAAAACATCTTCAATTATATCATATCATCAATTGGTACACTAGTTAGTCCACTAATTGGTGTATATAATATTAGTTTAAAAATAATTGTTTGATAGTTTATCTAAGAGAGATTTATTAGAAAATCATTTTCAAGTGTTTATATCCCAATTAGTTCATAAGATATTTTTGTATTCCAATAAGTCATATTATTTGAACATTTGATCTATCAAATCTTAATTCTCATCTTTAAGGTATTTTATGGACATTTTTATCCTTTCAAATATTTTTTAAACGGTTAGCAATTTGGTGATGTGAACATTCATATTTTACAATGTGAATATTCACATTGACATGTTAACATTCATATTGACGATGTCAATATTCACATTGACGGTGTGAACATTCACATCACAGAATATTCACACTGTAAATGTGAATATTATTAGGGGTATTTTGGTAATTATATCACTCATAGGATTTATTGGAATAAAAGAAAATAATGTGGATTAAATAGAACATAAGTAGGTAAAAAAGGATATATGAAAAAGTGTCCTCTTATTTAACTAAACAAACTTAATTTTCATAAATTGTCAAAAAATTTACTAATAAGATTTACAATTATTTTTATTTTTTGAATTAATAATTATAAAAATTAATTCATAAATAATATTAATTGAATTCAAGTATTACTATTGAGATATATTGATTGATATATAACAATAAAGGTTGAGCTTCTATTTTGTTCACATCTTAACATATGAAAATTTGCAAGGTCTATGGAGCCAACCACATGTCTTGTTTCGATAATTCAAATCGTTCATTTTGTAAGGCACCTAATATGTATCATTCATAAATAAAAAAAATTAATTCGACCTAATAACCATAA